ATCACATTTATTGGATGTACCTTCACCTTTTCCATCACATTTATTGGTTGTACCTTCACCTTTTGCAACCTATCAAGAGGAGGTGACTTGGTCAAGATTGAAGAAGACATGTGGTGATGGGTGGTCATTATCAAATTAACAATGAGTACCCGGGTCCTACCATTTCCCCTATATATTTGAAGACTTCTCTCAAGCAAATCATGCAACTCAATCCAACTTTTCCACCAGCACCTTGGAGCATCCTTTTAAAGCTTTGTAACATTAGAACTAGTTTATTTTCAGTTTGTAATTTAATTTTTGTAGTTCAGCTTTTATTCTTGCCACTGTATTGTGTGCCCTCTGTGGGCACCAGTAAGTATTTATCTTCAGTTCAAGTATTTCGTATGCAGCTTTCTTCTTCTATTTCTGTTATGTTTTCTAATTTCATTATGAGCTAAGCACCCCCTTGGGTGTGGGTGTGAGTCAAGCTTAAGGATTTAAGGGCACACTTGGGTGTTGCCATTTTTATTGATTCTTAAGCTTGGTCATTTAAGTCGGGACGTAAACTCAACGCGGATAAGCTGATCACTTTAAAGTGTTAATATTAGATCCTTGATCTAGAGATGGGCGGATCTGAAATACGGCTTAGATGATGCACAAAGGTTCGAGAGAKTCTTTGATAATCACGCAGAGATGCGGGTTTTGCATGTTTTTAGCTTTTGTTCAGATATTAGTCGAGTTTATGCTATAATACGTTGTGAGTATAAATCTTCAGACTAGTGGAACCAGATATCTTTTTATCTAGTAGCTAAATCGGCAGGTTTAAGATTGATAAATTTGGACGCTTTGTGGGCACTCTGTGGGCACAGTATATAAGAATTCACTTTCGAGAGAAAGGAGTTCTTATAGAAATCCCATGGGTTTCTGACCAAGTCGTTCTTATATTATTCTTAAGCAAAGCTTACACCCATACCCAACTTTTAATATTAAAGGTTTATTTCGTATTTGTACGCTTTGCACCAATCAAAACTCAAATATTTTCTCAACCCGAAACAGTGTTCAAGAAGTTCATAAAAGTCTCTGATTCTCAGTAAGTCCGGTCCCTGTGGAAACGATCTTGGTACTATACCACTTTATTACTTGAAGCGATCTTAGTGTCGGCGTACACTTGCACCGCCACTTTGGGGATTTTATGCCCACTGTGTGCACACTTACGATTCTAGCACATCAGCAGGCAATGATACAAACAAGCGTGGGCTGGCGGCGGGATTAAAAGGTAAGCTTACAAACAAGCGGCATATCAATAGAGTTGGATTTGAGAGGGGTTTGATGAGTGGAATTTTTTTCAGGCTGTGTTATTAGGTCATGTTTTCTTTCTCATTTTTGGTGGTGAGGGTTTATCTGTTTATATAAGTTTTTTTTTCGGTCTTTTCCTTCGGTTAGTTTTCAACATTTACCTTTGATATTTATTTAAGGGTCATGTTGCAATTGGATCAAATTGGTTGTGTAATATGAATAGGATGTGAAAAATTGCCAAAGGGTTGAAGTTGACTGTAACTTTATAATTGCATTTGGTTGCCGATTGATTTGTAGTTTTGATTTGCACCGATTGATTTGTAGTTTTGATTTGCACCTTTTACCGATTGATTTGTAGTTTTGGTTGCCGTCTTGTTCCATGTAATCTGCATACCAAACGCACCCTTAATGAATTTTTTACATCCCGCCGCATTACGCGGGTAGACAACTAGTATATATATATATATATATATATATATGAAAACTAATTAGTTTGTGGTAATCGTGAGGTCCAATCTCAATCACAAATCAATAGATAAATTAGAAAATTTATAATTTTGGTAATTTTTAATTAAAATTTTAATGCAAGAACATTTTAGGTATTTTCTCTCCTCTCTCCTATCTCCACTCTCCGTCTCCCGGCCTCCGGCCACCGTGGATATGTAACACAATGGTATCACAATGCATCTTATATGTACTTGAGTATCACACTGTGGTATCACTGGAGGATGGTGGTTGGAGGACGGTAGCCGGAAGCCGGAAGACGGGGACGGAGAAAGAAGAGAGGAGAGAAAATACCTAAAATGTTCTTGCAATAAAATTTTAATTAAAATTTACCAAAATTATAAATTTTTTAATTTATCTATTGATTTGTGGTTGAGATTGGATCTCACGGTTACCACAAACTAGTCAGTTCTCCCTTGAATTGACCCCTATATATATTGTTATGTATATATGTCAAATTTTAAGTTAGAAAAATTGTTATGTATTTTGAATTATTTTATGGGAGTGTTTGAGATTGCTTATTTGAAACAACTAATGTTTTTCTATAAAAATGCTTATCAACTTATTATAAATTAAAATATTTTAACTTTTTCAAAAACTTCTTATTACCGGTTTGACATCAATATAAATTGTTTATCTAAACAATCAAAAATGCTTATTATCAATATCACACTAAAATAAATTAATAAATTATTTTTATAAACAATCCCAAAAACCCTTATATATCTTCTGATTTTATGTAAGTTTTATTTTTTTATAAAAATATCACGAATTTTAAGTCCTTTAACTCGTAGGTAGGTCGAGTCTATTTATAAGACAGATATGAGTAAGTTACGAGGAAACCCCGGGCCTGGTCCGTCAAAGCCTGCAAATGATCGGCTCTAGAATTTACCATGGCAATCTTTCGAAGATGATACATTGATCCCTAATCGGAAGTGAAGTCTCCCCCTTTGACATCGCCGTCTTCAACCTTCATTGCCGGAAAATCACATTCACCTCCATCTCAGTCTACGAGGAAACCCAGAAAATGACCAGCGTAATTCCTAAAACTATCATATCTACACAGAATTCCTATGCCTTTAGGCTGTAGCTTCTGTTTCTAACTTCAATTGTCTCACTGTGTTTGATTCATAAATGTTTACATGTATAAAATTTTGCAAAAATATTCAGCTGTTGATTGCCACCGAAGATTCGCATCTTCTATTTTATCGGTTATGCAACAGCAGTTTCCAAGCCCTAGATTCTATCAAGGATCGCATATCTGAGATGTTTACAGACACGTTTTATTGCAAACGCTCCAGCACACACCTGATCAATACGAGGTAACTGACGAAACTTAAGTACTCTATCGGTTCCTAAATAGCTACACTTTGATTTCGATGTCCATCGAGTTCATGTATTATCATCAAAAGTCATGGATTCTGTTGACCTCTATAAGCATTTGTATCTACTTTGAAGCTTACGAATGTTATGAACAAGGCTGTGGAAATAATAAAAAATGCCCCTAAGCGAATTACTTTAATCCAATGAAACAACGACATATGTGATTTTTTAAAGAGTTTAGAATCTATTCAAGCTAAGTGTCTTTTATTAATTATAATAAAAAAAATACAATCAGGGGCATAAAAACCAAAACCCCGAATACAAAATGTAGAATGATAAAAGAATAAATCTTGGATTAAGGTCGTGGTTCTTTCTTTTCCGGTTTTCCCTTTTTCAAATTGAAATTAGCAAAATAGAAACTTTATTTCAATATATGAGAGTTAAAAGACAAGAAAAACTATAATTAGTTCTTAACTAAAATAGTAAATTATATCCAAATTACTGTCATAGTAAGCAAAAAGTAAAACTCAAAAGTTACAGGTCTAACGACTAAAAGCTAAGAGCCTATCTGTTAGCAGCTTAATAAGTTTAATGGAACTAACAGCTTATTCGCTCAACCATGACTGTTTCGTAGTGGCTTAATCTTATAGAAAATGACTTATCCAGTAAGCTCCTAGGGGGAATTTTATATAGAAAGTCAAGTTTTTTTTCCAAACATGTCATTTCCAACTAAAAAACGCTCCTTACATCTACGAAAAAACTCTCCCAAATGAAAACTTTCCAACTTATACAAACAGATTAATTCATATATACAACTTTATTCATACAAACAACTTTATACAAACAAAAACTTTTCCAACGTTCAAACTTTTTCCAATGATGTGCATTCAGTATTCATCACTACTAGCCTTGGGCCTGTTTTTATTGTTAAAGCTCAGTTGTCCAATTCCCAAATTATTAAACCCAAAACTAGTAATAAATGACAACTTGAAGCCCCTTTAGGTTTTGATGCCTTGTGCGGCTGCATGGGCTGCACGTGGCCAGGGCCGGCTCTGGTTATGAATACGGTAATTTAGGTGTTAAAACCGCAACAAAATTGACAAGAATTATGCATTTTAAATGTGTAGGTATCACATTCAAAAGATAAAAATCTTGCTCTTTATATGGAATGAGACGATTTTAGGCACACACACAAACACACACAATCATATCTTAGCCTTTGACACTCAGATCATTCTTAAAACATGTTTCTATCATAAATTTATCATGCAGTACGTACTTGCATTCTAACAGAATATACAATTTGATTTTCATGGTCAAAAGATTTTGCTTGTTGGTGTTGGATAATTGATGTGAATTGTGTTTAAACTATAATTTGGTATAGTTTTAGCTCTTTCTTAGATGCTCTATATAAAGCGAAGAAAAAGAAGTTTGTTTTTACCTCAAAGTCGTATCCATTTTTTTCAATGGAAGTTGTACTAGATGCTAGAAAGTCTAGTTTGAATTTTGTTGGCAACAGGAACCTGTGCTGGACAGAATGTTGATACCAATTTATTTGCTTTATAAAACTGAAACATTAGTATGACATGGTTACCACCAATCTTAAGTAAGTTTGCATAATTCTTGTCCATATACTTTCTAAAGTTAAAAATTGGATTTCATGTCGTTTTTCTCTAACTCCCTATGGAGAAAGAAGTAAGTGCACCATAGATCGTTGTCACATATGTACTATACTTTGATGGAAATGCATAGGATATAGTCATAGAAAATATAATACAGTGATGAGGTATAGCATATTAGAATTTAAATTGTGTTTTCATCACTCTAAAGTACAAATTGAATACATGTGTAGGACTTCTAGGGACAATGAGCGGTTCCACTACGGTTTTCAAGATCTTATTGCAGCAAGTGGAAGTGAATATCACCAGAAAACAGAAGATTGGTCACCACCTGATAAAAATTCTGAGGGTGGAGGTGATCCTGAGGTGGTCTTCAATGTGTTGGATGCCATTCTTAAGTGTAGTCTGGATCGCTTGAAACTTATGAGGTCAGAATTGCAGGCTTTAGCTTCCTATGTAATTGTATGAGTGTATATGTATCCTTGATTGTGTTAAAGGCCTAAGAAAACTTAGCAGGGAATAGTGAAATTCTTTTAAATTATACTTCATGATTTGTGTTTTCATTTGGTAGAACTTGGACCCTTTTTTCATATGAAATACTTCCCATATTTTTTAGTTTCCAAGTTAGCTTTCCGTTCTTTAGGGTAATCTTGTGTTTTCTCACAATACTTTTTGTCATTGTTGACTTCTTCAAGTTAACAAGAACAATCATTAAATGGTAGTTAAATACACGAATTAAGTAGTTTTCTTTGAAAAAATCAATGAATTCATACACCACACTCCACCTAAGGGTTGTAAAGCTCGACTGATAACCATCAAAGTTTAAAAATACTGAATCGTGAGGTGAGGCATTTTACCTTGGCGAGGCAAGGCGTAAGCCTCGAGGGGGACATACTAAACATAAATCACAAAAATATGCATCCACAAAATATGTATGCTAACAAATAAAATATACATTTACAATATATATACTAACAATATATATATATATATATATATATATATATATGGTCTACTAACAAATAAAAGAAATATAATATACTCATTAGGTTTAGAGAAAATACTTGGATGACCGAATGTAGCATTTTAAGAAAATATTAAGACATATATATATATATATATATATATGTACACATACACATGTGTACAATATACATGGAGTGAGGGAGAAGTGAATCGTTTTGAGAGAGAGAATAAAACAGCCTGTTTATTTTGACTTTTGGCTTTTTAGTATCTGTGTGTGTATTATAAACATTATATATGTATGTCAGTATGTGTGTGTGAGTGAGACAAAAGTGAATGGCTTTGAGAGAGAGCAAGTGGCAGCCATTCTTTGTGTGTGTATAGGGGCTTAATCAATCGAGAACTCCTATTTCTTGTGGGCCATGGGCGTCCGCCCGGCCCCCTCTCTCCCAAGGACGGCCCTGTATATTTGTTTCAGAATGTGTTTGTATCATACGTATTCGTTGACAATGTGAAATTTTTTACATGTATTTTTGTTTTACAAACATGTCAAAAGTGTTCACGTTGTGAACCGAGTACATGTAAATGCGAACACATTGTGAGACAATTATATGTTAATCAATATTCTAATCCTAGTCTAAGATGAAAAAAAACATACGAAATAACACATGATGCACAAGTTCTCAAAGGTTATCACAAATGAGGGATGGTTTGGATGAGATATGAGAGGGATCCACATCACTAGGTCGTATGAAATCTACATATTTATTGACCTTCAGATCATGTTCTAATGTTGGATCTTCTGCAGAGGTCCAAAAGTAGCAGATATGGTTCTTGCTTAGATGATGTACTCTAGCAATTGCTTTCATTAAAGATAGTTGTTTATGATATATTTGATGTATCCTGAAAATACATTTATTAAGTTCTTATACTGGCTGTATAGTTATGATCATCTTGATGAAATTTCAGGGAAAACATGTCATGGGCACATATTGGCCATTACAACTACACTTTGAAGGCAAGTTACACTCAACATATAGATACAATCAGGAATTTGAGCTTGGACGGTAAGTTGGGGGTGGCCTTGTGCCTTTGGAACAAATTGATACATAAAGGAGTTGTTCCAGATGTAGTTACACATAATTACCTTGTTCATGGATTTTGCAAAGTTGGTACACTCGAGAAGGCAGAATGGCTTGTAAGAGAGATGTGTTGTTGGGGTCCGTCCCCAAATGCTGCTACTTACAACACTTTGATGAAGGGTTATTGTGCTTTTAATGATATTGATAAAGCTCTAGATCTTTTGTCAACCATGACTGATGGTAAGGTAAAACCAAATATAGTCACTTTTAACATTCTAGTGCATGCTCTTTGCAAGAAAGGCCTGTTAGAGGAAGCTAGAGTACTTCTTCTGAAGTTAACAGATGAAAATAGTCAAAGGAATCTTGTAGCCTCAACTATAATAATGGACAACTGTTTCAAAAATGGTGATACAACTCTGGCTCTCACACTTTGGAGGGAGATATGTGAAACGAATGAAGTAGTGGATGTTGTTGCATATAACGTTATTATCCATGGGTCTTGTTTGAACTGGGATGTGATTGTTGCATATAAGTATGTAAATGAAATGTTCAAAATTGGTTTGCTTCCTGATAACTTCACTTTCAACACTCTTATAAATGCACTTTGTAAGGTGAGGCGGATCGATGAGGCTTGTTATCTCTACACTGTTATGTCAAGAATGGGTGTTGCTCCAGACTGGATCTCATACAACATACTTATTCAAGGTTTATGTGTGGTTGGCGATGTAAGTACAGCTCATGAGTTACTTACTTTTATGTTAGAGAAGTCAATGGTTCCTGCACCGCATATATGGAACATTATCATTGATGGATATGGTAAACATGGATACAAGCAAATAGCATTACATATCAGGGATATGATGATGACATATGGCGTTTTACCCAATGTATTTACTTATAATGCTTTGATTCACATGCTTATAGAAGGTGGAGAAATAGATGAGGCTCATTCACTGATGAAGGAGATGCTCTTGGCTGGTCCTTTGCCCGATGTAGTCACTTACAATCTACTGGTTGGTGCGGAATCTAAATCTGGACACCTTTATTCTGCATATCAAGTTTATGATGATATGTTAAAAAGAGGGTATGATCCAGACATTGTCACTTACACAGAACTGATAAAAGGTTATTGTATGAGAGGGAAAATAGAGGAGGCACATAGAATTTTCGGTTTTGACATGCTACAGGATTCTAATTTAGCAATTGATCATGTACCATTTCAAATACTCATCAAAAAGCATTTCAAGATGAAAGATTTTGACAGCGCATATGGTGTTTATCAAAAGTGGTTAAGAATGGATCGAGCAGAATAATTTTTAGGAGCAAATCTTGTCAGTGGCTAGCTATTGAAGATACACTTACTGAAAGCAAAGCATTATTGAGAGCATCAGCATGGCTTGTGCATTGTTATTCTTACATCTAAAAGTGACGATATTGACACACATTCAGTTTTATGCTTACTGCATCTGTTTGTTATTCTTCAGGCTGTAAGTCTTTCTTCCCATTGTAGTTCCTTTTGTATTTTATTATTTTAATTGTTTATTCTACACCACCATGTGAGTTCATGAGATGTGCACCTTCTATAACATGGCGTGTTGGTATTTGGTACATGAACGAGTTACAGTAGATGTACAGTAAAACACACTTGATAGGTTTCAGTATTCATGTTGTGGCTGAATAATTAGATATTTTCACTGCTGCTGATCCTTACTGTAAACATGTACATTTTATGTAGTGGACTTGAATTGCAATGCGAATGGTTGTATTGAACTTAAATCACTCATGGTATCAACTTATGTAGCCGCCTCTCCCCTCCCTCCCCCTATTTTTGTCTTGGCTAAATAAACGTTCTTAGAAGTCCACCTGGCCCAGAAAATATTACCATAATCAACGAACCTGCATATCTTGTGCACGTTATGATAGAGGTTTCCATGTTTTATACATCCTCAAATGCCTCTTTGTGCACGTTATATAGAGAAGTCGATTTCCAAATCACGTGTGGCTTCAATTTTGCATTTGATTGTTTGTGGGTGAGCTACAGGGCAATCCTACCCAAGTTCTTGCACGCAAAACCAACAGGGCAATATATAAACTAAACCAATTTCACTAAACCGTGAAACACCCACTTCATAATATATCAAAAATATTGTTATACCTTCACTACTGAGGTCAACTGGTCAAAGTTGGTAGGCTTGGTAGGACGGTTACTTGCTTATAAATAAGATGGATGGGAGGCGGAAAAAGGTATTGTTTAGTTTTGTTTTGGTGAGTTTGGTGAAAGCTTTAGGGAGAGAATCTGGCCTCTCGAAAGCCAGAAACTATCTGTAATCATTCAATCACCCATTAACCTTTCAATTACAATTACAGTTGCAATATCATGTTAATTCTTCCAGTGTTGTATCAGACCAGTGACGGTTATGCTAGTAATAGAAGGCTAATGAGTATCAACATCTAATACGTCCAGAAAATGAACAAGATGGCCATTTATCACCTGATTGCTCACAACATTGGATAAGAGGCTTCTGCATCGTCATTGATGACATGACACAAGGGTTTTTTTTTAAATGTTTTTTAGAATTGTTGCAAGTTGTTATCACTACTTCAGGTTTCCACGCTAACATTAGCTCTCAGCTAGGGATCGTTTGAGTGCAAGGCTAGTGGATCAAGGCATTAAAGAGAGAGAAGAAGTTATTTTGCTAACTATTGAATAGTCTTATGACATATTATTCTTGTACCTTATCACATTTGTCTGATCAAAATACAAAACCTGCCATGAACAGTTTTGTTGCCAGGTGTGGCGTCCGTCTACTTCTTTTCTCGGACTACCATCCACCACAAAATTCCTTACCCATAAATTAGTTCGGTAACAAAAACCTTTGACATGTACAGGTGTACAAAAGAAAACCGACGCACTATTGCTGCTGCTAAAAAACACTGCCCTCCAATCTCTTGTTGGCAACCAACAGTGGCACAAGCTGCAAGAATGCTGATGACATGCCACAACAATAGACAGAGTCAGGTAAACGATGCTCATCTGGGCTTTTCTTTTTTGGTTTTTTCATAGGCCATGTTTGGCAACCATAAGCTAGCTTATTTTTTGCGTTTGCATAAAAAATCTTGTTTGGTAATCCACAAACTAGCTTTTCCAAAAGCTACTTGCGATAGCTTTTAATAAGCTTAGGGGCTTTTTTTTTTTCTTCAGATTATGCCCCTTTTATATGTTAGAATTGAGTAATTTTTCAACATATATTTTTAGGTCATTTTACATTGTCATCTAGATTATCGACTTGTATTTAGGAAATGTAATTAGATTATCTACTCTCTTGTTAGCCGATTGCTAGGTCTTAGTTAACAATTAGCTTCTCAGCCAACAACATGCTTATCAGCCAACAACATGCTTATCAGCTAGTTTGTCAAACATAGCCTTATTGTTTGTATAGTAAGCTATATGATCCCAAACCACAGAAACATCCACTCTACCCCTTGTGGCTAAAGGATACGTCTGCATACATTCCACCCTCTATACCTTACTTTCGACTAATATATAACGAGTTAGTTTGGTTTGTTATGATCCCAAACCACCTTTTGAATTCAATTCTATGCAATTTTCAATCTCCTTTTGGATCTTCAATCATCTCTGTCCAGTTTCTTCTAAAGTTTCTGTGCTAATGGGCCAGGATGCTCTCTGTTTGACATGAGAGTCATTATCTATACTATGTTATAAAGCATTTGGACAGAAGTCTTAAAAACAAGTAATAAAGCATTTAGGCTGAAGCACTGCTTTTTTAAGCACACTTTCTTAAAATCTCTAAATTACAACATCCTAAACTTGTAGTCCAACTTGTCAATGCTAAACTAGCATTTTTCTTCCCAATATCGGCTGATCCTGTCACACGTTCCCAAGGTGACAATTCACATATCTATCTTCCCCATATCATGATTCAAGCTCCCAACATGATGATTTTTGGTTCATTTCATATTCTCCATATAATTATACGGTTAGGGTTCTTATTATTCAATTCTTGCTTTTATCTCCATTTTCCGATTCCATTCTCGTTGCTCCACATATAATTGATTTCTACATCTCAATTTTGATCATCTTCTTCATTTTGACTCCATTAACAAATCAATTAACTTGAGTTTGTTTGCCGACACCTTCTCTGTGTATAAAGGGATTTTTGTAAATTTGTAAATGACTTCCCTGTAGTGTTGATTCTTAATTTTATGGATTCTTGCTTCTTGATATTGAAATTGATTGAATTCTTTCTTTATTTTACATGAACTTTTATATATTGTTGCTTCTTGATGGAAAACTTTGCAATGTTAGTGTTTTGAACTTGGAATACATTATGTAGATTTATATTAGAGCTGATTATTGCGGGCTTGGGCTTGGCCTAACCTATTTTTCTTGTCCAACTGGCCTAATATAGCAAACCCAATCCCCCTTTTACGGGCTTGAAAACTTGCCCTTACATGCCCTATGAATGGGCTAGGCTTGCCCACGGGTTAACAGGCCTAAAAATCTTTTCACATTTCTTGGAAAACAAAACTTATATAATAACAATTTTTCCAGCTTAAAATTAGACGTAGATACATAACAATATACATAATAATAAAAAAAATTTCCTTTGCAAAGTATGGAGCATCAATAAGGGAAATGACCAAATGAGATGATAAGGAATTGATAATTGAGGTGATTATGTTTTAAGATTTCCAAAGAGTGTTAATATCATGGGTCATAATTAAGTGGGAATTGTTTAAGTATCAAGAATTTTAATTGTAATTGTAAAAGTTAATAAATTATAAAAATATTAATGAGCCAGGCGGTCCTGGCCAATTTTTTGGCATCGCCCATGCCTAACCATTAATTTTAACAAGTCAGTTCGGGCGCGCCCATCTTTTCTAGGATGGTAATCTAACCCTGCTTTTCAAGCAGGCTTGACACGGCAGGTCTGGCGGGCCGTCCCATCCGTGAATAGCTCTAATTTATATCTACTATAACCTGGTGTATATTTTATTGTAAATTTGTTTATTATCTGTTTTCTGCATTTTGGTATTGAATTTTACTGTATTGCTTCTTTGAGATGGTTATTGGTTCACGCAATCTTCATTTACCATATTGTTTCTGTGGGATGGTTACTGGTTCATGTAGAGCTTGATACAACATTTTGTTGATATCTTTGAGATGGTTACTGTATTGGGATGGTTAGTCTGAGAAAATGAGAGAGCATCAGTTTTAGATGATTTCTGATTTCTTTGAGAAAGGGAGCATCAGTTTAGATGGTTTGGTTTAACCATTTTGAAATAGGTATTTGGCTTCATCAAGTTGAATTACCTGTACCGAGATTTGATATGAGACAGACTAAATTTTGAAGGAATCAATTGGAGTGGGGTAGACATGGTCTTACATAAGATTATAGGAAACATTGGCTGCTGCCATTAGCATCTATTGATGACTTATAGCCTGAGATATTAGGTTGAGTAAATAATTGCTGTTGAAGATTCCTGCTTTGTTTGTTTCTGCTCTTCTCCATTAACCATTGTCTCCCATGTTCTTTCCCTTGAATCCAACACCAACTCTAGGAAGCTGACAGCCATGGAATGGCGAAGACCAAAACCTAATATTTTACTAAGAATCAAACTTTTCGATTTATCAAACACCTGCTTTTTCCCTTGTTAAATTGTATTGATGGTCAATTGCAGATCCTTGAAAACGTGAAAGTGGCATATGACTTGCCCATAGTGACTGATTTACTGAATCTACCCAGGTGATCATTTTTATTCTTCAAGATATAGCTCTTAAACGTACCTGTAAGGTGTTCACATGAATAGAATCTCTGTTTAATGTGGGTCATTTTGTTGACTTTGGAGAATGAACTCGAAGATTATTGGAATATATTGTCATACATAATATAATCCTTTGATACTTTTTATTTTTTCACTTTTGTTTTTTGTGCATTTCCATGGTCCTGACAGTAAGTTTTCGGTTTCTTCTCATTTTATATTTTCATTTTCTAGGATGTTAGATTTTGTGTGGTGTTTCTTGAATTTAGCTTAGATCAACAAATATAGATGCCCTTTCAAGGAGATTTTGTTTACTTGCATTCTCTATTCTCCTTCGGCTCTTACATGGATTCATGTGTTTTGGATTTTTTGTTGCTTCCGATGCCCTTGCATGGCCTCCCAAACAACCCAATGGAAAATCCACCGATGGAGTCAATGTCATACCCTTTCTTAGGTGCCCTTTGGCTCACACAATTCGTAGGAATTTGATGGAATTGGAATGACAAATTTTTTTGACCAAATTTCAATTTTTTTGTTTGGTTTATTTCTTGAAATTGATGAAATCCTTCAAATTCTATTGAATTATAATGAATTCATCATTCATTGCCATAATTGAAGAAATTGAATTCCATCACCACCCACCACGACCATGCTACTATTGTTCGTGATGCCCCACCCCTAACACCCCTCAAACCCACTGTTGCCCCCACCATTAACCACCATGCCACTACTGTTGTCATCACACCCACCCACCCCTCGCTCAATCACTGCACATCCCTACTACGACCATGCTACTACTGTTACTGTCACGCCCCAAACCTAACCCCCACCACCACACTATTATTGTCGTCGTCACAACTGTCACTCACCCCACTCCACCCTACCCTACCCAACCCACTACTAACCACCATGCCATTATTGTCGTCGTCATACCCACCCACTCCCAGCCACCCGACCACCATTCCACCACTATCATCGTCATAACTGCCACCTATCCTCACCACCCCGCCCCACCCTGCCCCGTCCCGCCCCGCCGTCCACTCCGCCCCTAACCTAACCCCCCATCACCACTATTGTTGCCTTAACAACCGCCACTCACACCCACCACTAAACACCATGGCACTATTGTCGTCATACCCACACACTCCCCGGCCCCAGCCACCCGACCATTATCCCACCACTACCATCGTCACAACTACCACCCACTAAGTACCAACTTGCTGACCTTTTTACAAAACCTCTTGATGACACAAGATTTAACATCTTAATCTGCAAACTTGGAATGCTGAATGCTGAGGATTAATTCCTTCAGTTGTAAGGAATACTTAGTGATACATAAGTGAAATGATTCAGTGTTTTTTTCTGTCACTGAACTTTTGAGTAAATGCATCTTTCTCTTTAAGGTATGTATACTTATCCTCTTTTCTAAAATTCTTAAAACCATCACTGAATCTTTTCTTATTCAGTGATCAAAATATTTTAAAAGAGATGTTTCAGTGTTTCCTTCTAACACTAAATTCTTGATTAAGTATAACTCTAAATTACATCTACTTGTCTTTTCTTAAAACAAAACCATCGCTGAATATTTCCTTGTTCAGTGATTAAAATGTTTTAAAAAGTGAAATGATTCAGTGTTTCTCTACCACTGAAATTCTTCAGTCAATGTATCTTACTTTTAAGATATGTTTTTTCTTTCTCTTCTTTCTCTTCTTTCTCTCTCATCTCACCTTTAAATATAAGAGTTATCTTCTCATATTTTTTACGCTTACACAACTCTTTAAAGAACTTTGTCTCTTAATGAATTTGGAATCTGTGCAAACAAGAACTTCAAAAAACTCCCTCGAACTAGTTTTCTTCTTTCACTTAATGAAATAGGTTTGTAATCTATTTTTTGATTGTTGTTCTAAGAAATGTTTGTGTTAGACCTCATAACTCTCAT